AAGAAATGTGTGACCACCTGCCCCGAGTAGGACACAGCTCTGTCTGCCCGGCCACCGTGCTTGGGTTTGCTGTCAGCTGATTCTTTCTCCGTCGCGTTGAGGGTGCATTTGACAAAGCCCTGGTGGAAAACCAGCCCCTGCAGCCGAGACCCTGCCATCAGGGCCCTTGCTGGAGGCAGAAGCCGGGGAGGGACAGCAGCAGACCGAGTCATCACGTCCTCTCTGTGGCCTCTTCTTGCTCTGCGTTTCCAAAACTCGTGGGGCGTTTCATGCCCACTCCTTGAAATAGTGGGCGATCTGCCTTTGGAAATACTGCCCTTTTCTTGTGAATGACGAATTACTTTATGGGGTCGGCGTTGCTCCCTGACGTGCTTGTGAAGCGGTCAGGCCCACACCCTCGGTTCTCAGCCTGGCTGTTCCCGCCTGGCTTTCCCCGCCCTGCTTCTCCCCCCACAGAAGGCACTGCAGTGGCACCCAGAGCGTCCGGCTCCAGCTGCCCAGCTCCCTGGACCAGAAGTTCCTAGATGTCCCACTCTTTTTTAAAAAGTCAAACTCCTTTAGCCTTTTTCTCTTTCTCTTTGCAGTTCTAAGAAACTGAACTGATGGTCCATGCGTGTTTTTAAGTAGCCACGGCCCTTTCCTGCATGGGACTGCCCCCACAGGCCATCGGATGCGCTCAGCCCGGCCTGTTCCCACAACTGCTGTTTATGCGGCTTGCTTGAGGTTAGAAATGACAACACGAAGGACCGCCCTTGTTCCTTGATGTTAAAAATGAGCAGTGGCCTCGGCCTCAGCGCGGTGTTCAGGTGCTGGCCGCCTTGATTTGGAAAGGCCTGGAAGGGGCTGCAGCCAGGGCGAATCTGGTCCCGTGGAGGCTCCAGGGCGAGACAAGGCTCCCGGGCCCAGCCTCACCGTGGACTAATTAGACCCGCGGGGTTTGCGCCGCCCCAGAGGCAAGGCCCACCTTGTTTTCATGCACCCACCTCCCCGTTATAAATTTCTGAAACTTTGACGTTTGTTTCCTAAACGCATTGCAGGTGCGGCCGCCTGGCGAGCTTTGGTGCCGGGCTGTGAGGGTGAGTTCGGGCCTCAGCGGCGGGCCCTGCGTTCAGCCTCTCTTACGATCCTCTGCCATATTTAAGGCCCTCTTTTTTTTTTTTTTTTTTTTAATTTACATCCTGTGTCCTGCATTTTGCTTTATTCGTTCAGCAGTACCTCCTGGAAATTCCTCCGAGCCCACTGTTATAGCTCCGATTCATGCATTTTTTTTTCCCGATTTTTTTACTGTGGTAACATACGCATCACATAAAATTTATCATCTTAACCACTTTTAAGTGTTCGGTGGCATTGAGCACATTCACACTGTTGTGCAGACATCACCACCATCCGTCTCCAGAACTTGTTCATCTTCCCAAACTGGAACGCGGTCCCCATTAAACGCTGACTCCCCCTGCTCCTCCCCCAGCCCCTGGCGCCCACCCTTCTGCTTTCTGTCTCTGAATTTGATGACTCTGGGGACCCCACAGAAGTGGAATCGTGCAGTATGTGTCCTTTTGTGACTGGCTTATTTCACTTAGGATAATGTCCTCAAGGTGCATCCATGTGGTAGCAGGTGTCAGAATCTCCTTCCTTTTCATGGCTGAATAATATTCCATCATGTGGCTGGACCACATTTTGTTTATCTATTTATTCTTCAGTGGGAGCTTGGGTGCGTCCATCTTTCAGCCGTTGTGAATAATGCTGCTGTGAACATGGGTGTGCAAATACCCTTGTGAGACCCTGCTTTCAGTTCTTTTGAGTACAGCCGTGGAAATGGAATTGCTAGATTAAATTAGATCATAATTTTCTATGGTAATTCTATTTGTAATTTTTTGAGGAACTTCTCTACTGTTTTCCACAGTGGCTGCATCATTTTACACTCCCACCAGCAGTGCGCCAGGGTTCAAATTTCTCTACATCCTTGCCTATACTTGCTGTTTTGTGTGTTTTCTGTAGCCATCCTGATAGGCGGGAGGTGGTATCTCACTTGCATTTCCCTGATGGTTAGTGATGTGGAGCATCTTTTCATGTGCTTATTGCCCATTTGTGTGTCTTCTTTGGAGAAATGTCTATTCAAATCCTTCGCCCATTCCTGAATCAGGTTTGATTTTTTTTCTTGTCGAGTTTTATGACTTCTCTATATATTCTGGTATGAATCCCTTATTAGACATAGGATTTGCAAGCATTTTCTCCTATTCTGTGGGAGCCTTTTTACCCTGTGGATAGTGTCTTTTGAGGCACAGAAATTTTTAATTTGCACGAAGTCCAATTCGTCCATTTTTCTTGCTAATACTTTAACTTCTTGTTTATCTTTTTAAAAAGGAAAATTTTTTTTTCTGATAGTAAAAAACTATAAATGCTCAATATAAACAAAAGCAGATTTAAGTACAGAAAACCATGAAGAAGTAAGTCAGAATCACCCAAGCGCCTGCTCTCCAGGGGTGTTCCCTGACGCTGTGTAGGAGCTGGTGGTGGTCATGGTGCTCTCTTCCCGCATGTGGAGGCCGTGCTCACCCAACGACCAGAGCATCGCCGGGTCATTCTCCCTGTGACCGCCCTCAGGGGGAGGCTGCCCTGTCCACACTGAGTGCTCCAGTCTGCTGGGTGTAAGTTATCAGTCTGATTAGAAATCAGTTAATTGACCAGCTATTTAAAAAGCAGCTGCAGGGGCCAGCCTGGTGGCGCAGCGGTTAAGTGTGCACGTTCCGCTTCGGCGGCCCCGGGTTCGCCGGTTGGGATCCCAGGTGCAGACATGGCACCACTTGGTGAGCCGTGCTGTGGTGGGCGTCCCACATATAACGTAGAGGAAGATGGGCATGGATGTGAGCTCAGGGCCAGTCTTCCTCAGCAAAAAGAGGAGGATTGGCAGTAGTTAGCTCAGGGCTAATCTTCCTCAAGCAAAAAAAAAAAACAGCTGCAGATCTAGCTGCTGATGAGGAGAGGATCCTGGGAGGACACGCGTGACCTGCTGTGGCCCGGGGCAAGGTAGTGATGCATTTGGGACCCGGACGTGGGCTCCTGGTCCCTCCTCTGGAGTACTTGGCAGTGCCCAGTCATATTTAAGTAGCTTATTGATTGACAAAGAACAAAACTTGAGACAGTAAACATATTAAAGACTAAAAGATTGTGACGTTCCGTGCTGACACACCAAATGAGGAAAAATGAGAGCGACTTTAATTAAACATCTTCTTGTTAAAAGAAGACACACTTTCTTTGAACTTGGGGGCCACACTTGGGACAGGTCACCAAGAAACGTCCAGTGAGTCCATCCCGCCTCTGCTGGGTACAGACCAGGTGAGCGGGAGCAGGTAGGGCTGGTTCCAGGCTGACTTCCCTGCTGAGCAGGGATGCCATCCTGCTGGGACCATGACTCCATGAGGTGCTCTTTGCCTCAAGGACCAGTGCCTGGGTGTCTGTGGGGTCAGAAAAGCCAGGACACCCCTGCCCGTTCCCAACAGAGACACAGAAGGCAGCCTCTGAACTCCTAAAGATGCTTCCAGGAGCCTTCCAGGCCCCCTCTGTTGACCAGATCGAGGATTCTAGAAAATGATTGACAGTGACAGAAAACAGTTAGCAGTTGTGGATGGGGTAGGACTACGAGGGGCGTGAGTAAGCTTTTGGGGTGATGGAGCTCTCCACTGTCTGCTGCCCTTGCTGAGATTGCGTGTGGTGGACGTGACATGATGTCTGACGTACGGTTCTCTTCTTAGTGCCTGGCACACAGGAGGAGCTCATTAGACGGCAGCTGCTGTTCCAACAATATTGTGAATATATGTATTGTTATTATCCTAAAAATGTTTTGGCCATGTCCTGCAATTCAACTGAAACCTTATTAAATTATCAGTAAAGAGAGAGTTTTTATGAAAGATGGTAGGCACTGGCATTGGTTAACATGCAGGTGCTACTTCTCAGCTGAAAAATAAGCCACAGTGTTCAGGCGTCAGGCCCGGTCACTCGCTTGTCTGCTTCTTGGCCTTCTGTGTACGTCGAGGACGGCACTGTCCTTGGTGTGTGGCTCACGCCGGTGTCCACAGCCGTGACCCTGACTACTCCGTCTTCACCCTGCTCGTTGGTCTTGATCTTAAAATTGGCAACTGGTCTCTCAAGTCATTTGACATTTTAAGCCACTTTTTCCGCTTGCTGCTTTCTCAGCCTTTGGTAAACCTTTTTTTTTTTTTTTTTTTGATGTGGTTTCACCTTTATCTCTAGAAACTGGTCACCATTTTACATCCTTGATGACACTGGGTTCTGAGGATCTAACTTTAAAAAGAGGATGCAAATGTGTGTGGTTCCAGCCGTCAAAAGGGTCTCGGAGGCTGGTGCAGTGTTGCCGGTCTTATTCGTATTGTGACCCCCACGACGTGCTCCGAGGGCACCAGCCAAACGGCCTGCGGCGGTTGTGTAAGAGGCCGGCAGGATGTTTTACCTCTAACCCCGGTAGTTTCCACGAGCTTGGAGCAGTTATTGCCCTTACGGTGTGTCTAATTACATAGTAAATATGTGATATATCACACACGCGAAGCTGTGTCACCCGGGCACGCGGACAAGCCGGGATGGGACCGCCACCCCCAGGGTGGGGCTCAGCCAGGTTTCTCTGTGCTCTCTGCTGGGTTCTTTTTCTGGGGTGGGGGGGTGTCGAGAGCACACGAGGACCATTGGCTCCGAGGAGCGTACGCTGGGGGAGGAGGTGGGATGCGGGACCGTCCCCTGGAACACCCCCAGGGCGGGCTCCGTCTGCGCTCCGGCGGCACAGCCTCTGAGCTCCCAGTGTGTCTTCCCAGTGGCCCGTTCTGCCTTTGGGCCACTCGTAGCCGTGGTGTCTTCCTTCTTTTGTTGGGCGAGTTCGGTTTCCTGGTTCCGTCTTCTGAAGCCACACGGGAGAAGCCGCCCCCTCTCCCTGTGGGTGCTGAGGCCCCAACACACACGTGTCCTCCCCCTCACAGGCCTCGCTCCTTCCGCAGGTGCCGCGGGGAAGAGACTCTGAGAGCTGCCAGCGGCCTGCTGTGACCGAGCTGCTGCCCCAGCATCGCCCGAGATCTTCACGTCCGCCCGGGGTAACAAGAGGGGTGAGTGCCGGAGGACAGAGCCGCAGATTTTCAGGGCCCACTCAATGAGCCCGGGTACCATCATTTGTCTTTCCCTCCCCTCCTGAAGGCGGCCATGAGGTGGGCCGGGTCACAGATACGGGGAAGAGAGAGAAGTCTGAGCATGGGGACAGATTAGCACCTTCTGGGGACCCGTGAGCAGGGTCAGCCTTGTTTCCTAGGGCGTGGCTGATGTCACGGGACTGCTGTGAGCACAGGTGGCCAGTTTGCTAAGAGGGCCACCCCGAGGCCAGGCGCGGTGGGTCTGCACCTGCAGGTTTGTGCGCGTGGTGCAGAATAGCGCTGAATTCCCTGTTTTCGTCCACCTCATCCCATTTTGCCTTTATCCAGCTCACGTGTGTCTCTCTCCCGTACTGTGTGGTTGTTTCTTTTTGACCTAAGTGGATGGCTTGACATTTATCCCAGTTTTAGTGTCCGTCTCTGTGTTTTCAACCCATCTTTCCAGGCTGTCTGTTCATCTTGCTGAATCCAGATTCTGGGAGAACGTGGACTCTGTTGGGGGCAGGGTGGGCCAGATATGATCCCAGTGGCTTGGGGGATTGGACCGTATGGGGGACGGGGTCTAGCAGGAGGTGGGAAGTCAGCTCCCCGCTCAGCCCCCCAGACGGCGCCCTTTGGGGTGGAGCACCACCTGCGTCTGCCAGGGAGGAGCGAAAGATGAGCTCCCGCTCGGCCCTGCCAGCAGCACGAGGTGCCTGGAGAGGGGACAGGAGTGTGCTGCCGGCCTTTGTGGGGCGGGGGTGAGGATGGGGGATCAGCCCTCTGCTTGGCCCTGCTGAGGCTGTGGGGGTGGGGGTGGGGTTTCCCCTGGTGTTTGCCTTAAGAGGCGTGGGTATCGCCACAAAGATTTTTCTGCTCTTAGGTTACTGCAAAGTTAGGAACAGTTTCCAAGACACCTGTCGCTGCTGACACCAATAGAAAGCGTAGGAGAGGTCCCCAAGACCACCCTCAGGTCGGATAATTCTCCAGAAGGACTCCCAGAGCCACTGAAAGATGTTGAACTCGCAGTTATGGTTTATTACAGCCCAGGATTCAGATTAAAGTCAGCCCAGGGGAGAGATGCAGTGGGCAGAATCGAGGAGGGTCCCACACACGGGGCTTCCAGTTGTCCCCTCCCTTCAGACAGCACTGACTCCTCCTGGCATGGATGGGTCACCGCACGCACAGAGCATTGCCTACTGGGGAAGCCCCGAGGCTTGGCGTCCAGTCTTTACTGGGGCTCCATCACATAGATGTGTTGACTCCCCACATGGCTGACGTCAGTCTCCAGCCCTTCCGGAGGTCGAGCTGATACCCCGGGGCCCACAGCCCTCACCCTAAATCCCATTCTTAGATCGATCTAGCATGGTCCATGTCCCCAAGTAAACAAAGATGCTACTATCAGGCAGGACCTTCCAGGGGCCCAGAGATGCCCTCGCAGGAGCCGAGGGCCGGGCCCACCTCTCTGGGCAAGGTCGAATCCTTTAGACACAGCCACCCTTGCCCATGCTTGGGCTTCTTGGGAGCAGGCTCCTCTCGGAGCTTTTTTTCCTGTGCCTGTTGGCTGTTCAGGGTTGGAGGCTTCTGCAGCGGCCCGTGTGGGGCGTACGGGGGACGGTCAGGAACCCAGCGCACTCACCCCCTTGTCGCTCCTCGAGTCCCCAGGTCCGTAGGCTGTCTGCCTCTTCTTCCGTCCTGTCAGCGTCTTCCTGTGCCTGCTGGTTGTGTGACGTCCGTAGTTTTTAGTTATAAGAGGGCGGGTCTGGGAGGGACGGGGCTGCCCCATCTGCGTGGAGGCACAAGTGTCACCAGGTAAGGCGTTATAGATGTCGAATGTCGTCTCATCCCGGGGCTGGGGTTCCCAGCCTGGGTCATCTACAACTTGATTGGCGCTCTCTCTCTAAGCAACTGATCAAACAGCGTCTCGTCTTTCCTGTGTGTCCCCAGCACTTTGCAAAGCACCCAGGGCAGAACAGCGTTGCACACGGCCGGACTGAGTATGGGGGCCTCTGGCATGTTTGTGTTGACGTGGACTGGCGGTCAGCGGTTCTCACTGGGAGCTGTGGACCAGCTACAAGTCCCTTGTCATCTGGCCTGCCTTTCTCCATGCACAGGGGTCACCCACCCCGGCCCGTGAGCTGGCCGGGCCTCTCGTGGACCCTGCCCTTCGAGTGAGCGTCCACAGCTGTCCTCGGAACCTCCCCTCCCTTGGTTCTGCACCTCCCTTTTGTCTTTTCCCCTCTTCGGTCGTGGGCTGCTACCTGGACCCTCTTTGAAGGCGCTCACCTGGCCCTCTCGGCAGCCCGGTGGACATCTGCCTCCTCCCCACTGACCTCAGGCTCCGGGCCTCTGCCGCCCTTTCCGCGGAGGGGCAGAGACGGTGCCCGCGTGGCGGCCGCGGATGCAGGGGCCGCGCTCTCACCTGGTCACCTGGGTTAAGTGTATACAGCAAAAGGGTTTCTTCAGGCGGGGAGGGGGTGTCTTTAGCACTTTTATAAACCGTTGCTTGTGCTGCACTTTACCTTCTTGGTGCCGTCTGTCGCGCCGACTGCCCCTCCTCTCGCCCTCAGCCCCTCCCCCTTGCCAGGGCCTGTATTCTGCAGCGTGACTGTCCCGTTAGCCCTCCCGCTTTTTGTTGCAGGGGTACAGCATCTCCAGTCTCCCCGTCAGTCACACTCGTCTGTTGGGCCCTTGTAAGCGGCATTAGTCACGTTACACGGAGCAGTTGAAGCTCCTGATCAGGCAGCATAACCGCGTCCGACTCTCGGAGGAGGGGGTGGGACGGGGCAAAGCCAGGAGGATGACGGTGGAGGAGAAAGAGGATCTGAGATGCCAGCCAGCCCCCGGCCCCTCGGGACCTCAAACGGCGGCAGAGAGCCGCAGCCACACGGTCATCCTTAACATGGCTTTTCCTTGCCTTCCCAGGTCCCCCAGAGCACAGCGCCCGGTCTCTACATGAAGCTGAAGTGAGAGGAGCCAGCTGCCGGGGCCCCACGTCCACGGCCAGGATGGCCAAGGCCCGGCTCTTCCGCCTGTGGCTGGTCCTGGGCTCTGTGTTCATGATCCTCCTGATCATCGTGTACTGGGACAACGTGGGCACGGCCCACTTCTACCTGCACACTTCCTTCTCCAGGCCGCACCCCCTGGAGGGCCTGCCCACCGCCGGGCAGCGGGAAGAGAAGGAGCTCCCGGCCGACGTGGACGAGTTTTTGGAGAAGCTGCTCAGTGGTGGCGCGAAGCAGAACGTCGTTTCCGGGAAAAAGCTGGAGCAGCCCTCCCTGCTGGCCTCCGGCAGGCCTGTGCTGAGCAACGTGGAGGAGAGGATAAGGGGCTACGACTGGTCCACGCACGGCGCGCAGCAGAGCCCAGACCTGGACCGCCGGCAGGCCGAGAGGAGGAGCGTGCTGCGGGAGCTCTGCGCCAACGCGAGCTTCGTGTTCCCCACCAAGGAGCGCTCCTTCGACGACATCCCCAACTACGAGCTGAACCACCTCATCGTGGACGACCGCCACGGCGTCATCTACTGCTACGTGCCCAAGGTGGCCTGCACCAACTGGAAGCGCGTGATGATCGTGCTGAGCGAGAGCCTCTTGGACCAGGGCGCGCCCTACCGCGACCCCCTGGACATCCCCCGGGAGTACGTCCACAACTCCAGCACCCACCTCACCTTCAACAAATTCTGGCGTCGCTACGGGCGGTTCTCGCGCCACCTGATGAAGATCAAGCTGAAGAAGTACACCAAGTTCCTGTTCGTGCGGGACCCCTTCGTCCGCCTCATCTCCGCCTTCCGCAGCAAGTTCGAGCTGGAGAACGAGGAGTTCTACCGCAAGTTTGCCGTCCCCATGCTCAAGATGTACTCCAACCACACCAGCCTGCCCGCGTCGGTCAGCGAGGCCTTCAGCGCCGGCCTCAAGGTGTCCTTCGCCAACTTCATCCAGTACCTTCTGGACCCGCACACCGAGAAGCTGGCGCCCTTCAACGAGCACTGGCGGCAGGTGCACCGGCTCTGCCACCCCTGCCAGATAGACTACGACTTTGTGGGCAAGCTGGAGACGCTGGACCAGGACGCGGCCCAGCTCCTCCGGCTCCTCAAGGTGGACAAGCTTCTCCACTTCCCGCCCAGTTACCGCAACAGGACTGCCAGCAGCTGGGAGGACGACTGGTTCGCCAAGATCCCCCTGGCCTGGAGGCAGCAGCTTTACAAACTCTATGAAGCCGATTTTGTTCTCTTTGGCTACCCCAAGCCCGAAAACCTGCTTCGAGACTGAGGGAGTTAGGGGGAAATCCCCAACACCCAAAACAACCCTGCTGGTGGTGTTCCTTTAAACCCGAATGAGCGGCGTGCTGTACCACGGCCATCTTTTGAGGAGGGAGCGACGGGTGCCACGTGTATTTTTTTATGGCTTCGTTTCCCTCCCCCTTGGACACATTGCAGAATTCCACGACACTCCTGTCGACGAGGCAGCTGGAAGGTCCCCGTGGCCGCCCCCCCGCAATCCAGTTTTTAAAATAACCGACCGTTTTGCAATCTAGACTGTTTACCACGCTGCCTATATCCATTGAGGACTGTGTTAATATTGTTTTTTTAAGATTAATATATTTCAGATATTTAATATGAAAAGTGGGGAAGGAGTTGATGGAGTAAAATGTTACATCTGCTCCTTCTGCCTGCCCTCGTGGTTATTGGGGTGGCGTGACAGACACAGAGTAAGGGGCCCCGAGCAACTTGACGCTGATTTTTAGATCTCAGAAACTCGGTTAAAGGAAGGGACGTTTTGTGGTCGTCTTCAGCAAAAAAGGAGGAATGTAAATTTGAAATCAGGCCTTATCTGTATTTGTACCGGCGTAGCAGACAAATCCTTCGAAAGTGAAAGCTCTTAGTAGGTGATATCTCAGCAAAGGGAAATGGTTATATATGGTTTGTATCTGAGCTCATGTCAGAGGCACCCCACTTCCAGGGCACAGGTACAGAGCTGGGAGTCTGAGCCCAGCCGCTCCCTTCCTTTAATGCAGAGCCCGTGGACGTGAGGATTTGCAGGAACAGGGACCGTGTGGGTAGGAGTTGGTCCCTAGGATGCTTTTCCTCCGTCAGCAAGCTGAGGCTTAGCTGTGGTTTTCGTCACGCACCTGGCTGGTTGGGTTCAGCTCCAGTGACGTCCACCCTGGGGAATGTGACAGACACCGGGATCGTCACGCTTGACGGCCCCGACTTGGTCAAGGTGTCTGTGCAAGTCCAGGATGGCTCTTTCGAAACATCCGGTTCAAGTTCCTTCACAGTTTGTGCTGTGAGCCTGTAAGTGGGGAGAAGTCGGCGTCAGGTCGCGTGGTTGGGCATCACGCTTGACCTCTTCTTCTCCATCCCGAGCGCCTGGTCCTCGACGCCCAGTTCTGGGAGAGCTGGCAGCGCATTGAGGAGGGTTCCCCTTGGGTCTCCTTGCTTTTTCTGGCTTCTAGATGCCACTGAGGCTTGTTTGAGCCGGTGGCCCGTGAGTGCTCACCTTACACACTTGGGGCTCCACCGTGCTGGAAACCATCACTCTCCTTTTTGAAGCTTCTCTTCTTTTTATAAAACAGTCGGCAGCAAAGATACTCAAGCTTGGGTCAGCCCTGATGGCCTGGTGACTAAGTTTGTGGCACTCCACTTTGGCGGCGCTGGTTCAGTTCCCAAGCACGGACCTACACCACTCATCAGCGGCCATGCTGTGGCAGCAGCTCACGTACAAAAAGAGGAAGATTGGCAGCAGATGTTAGCTCAGGGCGAATCTTCCTCAGCAAAAAAAAAAAAAAAAAAAAAAAAGCTCAAGCTTGAGGAGTCCAGCTTTAGGATAATGGTCTGCAGAGCCCTTGTCACTTGGGGTGTCTGTCAGGACCCTGTTCATTCATCAGTTGTCTGTCATACCTCGTGCCTTGGGGCTTCAGGTCACCAAGCAGGCATGCTGGCTCTGTCTCCAGAGGACAAGGTGGTCCTATGGTGTGGGACGAGAGCAGGGACCCCCGACCCCAGCCAGGGGACTGAGTGCCTTCAAGGACAAAGTGTCAGAGGAGTGAAGGAGAGAAGGGCTTCCTGAGCAAGGTGGTGTTTGAACTCAGCCTCAGGGTGGGGAAAGGTAGAATGTGTGACATCGGCAAAGGCGCAGGGCGTGTGTGCAGATGGTAGATGCCAACCCAGTGCGTCCCGTGTGTCACTTCACTCCGCTCTGAAGCTGATGTGTCATTAGTGTCAATATTCTTCTTTTTTTTTTCCTCTCCCCAAAGGCCCAGCACATCGTTGTATATTCTAGTTTTAGGTCCTTCTAGTTCTTCTCTGTGAGCCACCACCACAGCGTGGCTACTGACAGATGAGTGGTGTGGTTTTGCGACCAGGAACCGAACCCAGGCCGCCAAAGTGGAGCGCGCAGAACTTTGACCACTAGGCCATCAGGGCTGGCTCCTCTTGGGTGTTTTTTTTGGTGTGAGGAAAAGGACTGGAGATGTGGGGAGAGAGCCCCTTCGTCCCGCTCCATTTTCCTGGGCGCAGAGGCAGCTAAGGGCTTACGCTGGAGGTTTCTTCAGATGCTTGCAGGCAGGACCCCACCTGAGCACACCGCTGTCGCTGTCAGACGTGAGGAAGAGGAAGCAGGGGGAAGTCAGGGGAGTGTGACACAGACCCTCCTGCTGACGTGGTGACTCCCCCCACCTTTTTTTTTATAGTGATCAAATACACACAATATAGAATTTATCATCTCGGCCGTTTTTGAGTGTACATTTCAGGGGCATTAAGTACATTCATATTCTTGTGCAACCATCACCACCATCGTCTCTAAAACGTTCTCATTTTCCCAAACTGAAGCTCTGTCCCCATTAAACACTAACCGCCCAGCCCTGACACCTGCCCTTCTACTTTCTGTCTCTATGAATTTTACTGTTCCAGAGACCTCATCGAAGTGGGATCATATAGTATTTGTCCTTTTGAGCTTGGCTTCTTTCACCGAGCGTAATGTCCTCGAGGTTTATCCATGTTGTAGCATGTGACAAGATTTCCTTCCTTTTTAAGGCTGAATAATATTCCACTGTGTGGAGGGACCACATTTTCTGTCTCCATTCGTGCATTGATGGACGCTTGGGTTGCTTCCACCTTGTGGCTATTGTGAGTCACGCTCTGTGTTAGAGACGAGTTGAGGGACTGTCCTGGGAAAACAAGATCATATTGGGGATGGTTTCAAATCTCCTTTCCTGTATTAAATACATCGTGAGTTTCAATCATTCGTCAAAACTCCTTAGGCGGTGGGCTGCTTAAGGGCACGACGCACGTCGCCCCATTTCTCTGTTCCCGGTTCTTCGCATAGTCACACTGCAGGTCGGTTTCTCTGAGCATCGGAGCATGTTTGCAGGGATGTCGAGGCTTGGGGGCTGTTGGAGAGAATGCCAGCCGTGTCCACACAGCCACCCGAGTCCCCGTGCCGGCGTCCCGGCCGCCACCTGGGCCCAAGAGATGACTCAGGAAGTGATGGCAGAGAAAGTCCTCCTGGGCCGAGGGGACGGGCTCCGAGGAAAGAGGGGAACCCCCGCCTCGGCCCCTTTCTGTGGCCTGTGCCTGGAACTCATTTTCTCTTATTCTTTGCATTTCCCTGGCCACAGAGTGATATCTTACAAAGGAATTCGGCTTCATGTTTTTTCCTGCTAAGATTCTGTAAAGTTTTTAAAATTGATTTGGTACAATTAGATTAGCCAAACAATTCCATAGGCTTAAAATTCTCTGTTTGCCTCTGTCCTCCAGCCGTCATCAACACATTGACCCACAATCCTAATAACACTCATGGTTTCTGGTACAAAATCCTCCCTCACGTCATCGCTGAGACCCCAGCCCGGCCACCCGGGCACTGGACCCGTTGACAGTGGGGGGAGGATGCGGGAAAGACTCGCTCAACACGCGAGACTGCGTGGGCTGAGCCTGCCCTGGACCACGGCCTCCGGACCACGGGGCTGTGCATTTTCCATGCCCCCCAGGTATTTAGCACCATGTGGGCTGTGCGTGTGTGTGTGTGACACAGTCAGTCGTCTTTCCTCTTGAAATGTCCGATACGCTTCTTCATGCGTCCATACGGTGTATCCACTTACGACTTCTGATGCGTATCTCGGTGGCGTGCTGCTGTGTTGTTTTCACCGTCCACTTTGAAGGAATTTCCACGACTTGGAGACTTTCGGGTTTGTTTTTCCGCCGAGGCTGGGATCCTGTTTTCTCTCCCCGGTGCCCTTCGTGTGCCTCCCTTGTTTGACTGAAGAGGGGGCTTTAACCCGGCTCTGCCACTCGCGGGGCAGTCAGAGGGGCCTCCTCTGCACGGGGGCCGGCCCACCCTGCGCGGCCTCTGCTCCCCCTGGGGCTGGTCGGCAGGGAGCACGTGGCTGGGAGGGCAGGGGAGGCATTCTGTCCCTTGAGATGTGACAGGAGCTGGAGAGGGGTGTGCCCCTGCATTTCATCAGAGCCGAATCTCCACCCTCAGATGTGGGCAGCGACAACCCCTCTTGCAGCATGCGTCTCCTTCACAACCATCACACCTACAGTGAGGCTTGGCGTGTGGGCCGTGGGCGCAGGTGACCATTCACTGAGTGAGCAAACGCGTGGATGAGAGAAGGAGGCTGGACTTCCGCCCATGAGCCCGGAGGGCGGTCATCTGTTTAATAAGGTGACCGTGGGCCAGCCCGTGGAGCTCACTCCCTCTGGCTTCTGGCAGTTTCTGAGCCCCGTGTCGTCTGTGGGGCTCATGAGGGCAACTTGCACGGTTCCTGGGGAAGTGAACTGTTGCCTCTGTTTCAGAGAATCCTAATGTGCCTTTTTATTCCCTTCCTTTTGAAAGATGCTGGCACTCCCCATCCCTCCTCCCAGAGGGAGTCAGGATTGCTTTCTTCCACACTTGTCTCCCGCAGCCGCAGCCCCCTGCTGGTGGAAGCCACGGCCATCGGGAGCTGGCCAGGCCACCCTCTCACTCCCCTGCCCCGTGTCCCGTGCCCCTTGTGTGGAGAGGCCTCGAGGGTTGGAGATGGGAGTGGATTGGAGACGCAGCAGGCTGGTCTGGCCCCGGCGGATGGCTCGGAGCTCGTGGACTCCCCTCTTCTGTGGGTCCAAGACCCACGGGTGAGGTGTGCATTGTGTGATTGCTGGTCCCCGTCCCCAAGGGCCTTTGAGCTGCCCACACACATGTCCCTGGATGTCAGCTGCCTCGGCTGCACCTTTGTGCGGGGGACCAAGCTCTGGACCAGCTGTGCTGGCTGTTTGTTAAATGTGGCATCAAATGGGTTCTCGGTGGCAGGACCTTGGGGGCCTCACTGATGTCCCCAGAGCCTTCTCTAAAGTTTCTGTGGAAGGGAGCTCCGTTTCTGGTGGGATTTTCTCCCCAGCGTGTGCTCTCCCCCTCGGATGGGAGAGCCGCTCAGAGGGGCGGTGGGATGCTCTTAGCAGTGGGCGAGGGCGTGGGAAAGTCTGTTCTCCTCGGCAGCACCCCCTGCAGAGTAACAGGCTCCAGATAGCACGCAGACCCGAGGGGGTCCGCTCACCCCAGCAAATTATCCAGGAGTCATTTTGCTCATTTATTTATGAACTGCACGTCGTTTTCTGCTCACCCCACACTCTATAACCTAAAAAGGTAAAACTTGGATAGTGTAAACGTAATTAATCTAAAAATGT